CCCCTGGGCCACCGCGGTGCCTGCAGGCCCACCCTGCCCTGCACCTCAATGCCATCATCTGCAAAGCAACACACGGCACACAGCTGATGGGAAGGAGGGAACAGGGCACAGGGTGCTGGGGAAAGCCTCCGCCACCCACGCAGAGCTAAGGGCACCTTAGCTAAGGGCTAAGTGCCCTTTTAGCGTGGAGGAGGAAGGTGGTTGTGGGTGGCTGCCTGTCCCAGAGCGCAAGCAAACACCAACACGGCCTCATCTAGACGCTCTCAGAAGAGGGAACTCGTGCCCCAAGCGCACCACCTTCAGATTTTCAGACACACACCAAAAAGCGAGCCGTGAGCCTTCGAAACCTCAGCTCAGCCAAGCGATCAGAGAGCCTGAAACTGAACAAACCTCCAGCAGACACTGGCCAACAGCTTCCATCAAGAAACAATCATAAAAACACAGCCGAAAGTTTCAATAGAGGTCAACGTGGTTTTTTTTTTTATTTGCTAAGTCTATAATATACATCCTTCCTGCAAACATCTGCTTGCAAAACCAACCTCTCCTCTACCGGACTTTTTGTAAACTGGGAAAAACTTCATTTTTCTCATGGACTTACCCTGCTGCAAGACTAATGCAAAGAGAACCGCAGAGAGCTGGGGCTCAAGCGCAGCCCCACGGCTCCCACCATGGGAAGGGCCACAGATAAAGAGCCTCAGTCTAACAGGGATTAACTTGTTTTCCCAACCTTTGTTGCAAAAATGAAAGGTCTTGATATTCCTGCTATTAAACTGACTCATACTGGAAGCCCCAGGACTTCCAGCAGGTCATTCTTACCCACTCAATTCTGAGTTTTTCTTTACTTTGTAAGCAGCAACTCCACTCCACAAATCCTCCACGTTCTCCCTTTCACAGAGGTGCTGCTGCTGCTGCTCAGCCCATGTAACGACCACCCTCCCTCCTCGCTGCAATTACCAGGAGCTCGGGGCTACTCTGGGTCCCGGCCAGTGGCCACAGCTCTTGAAGTAGAATTTCTAACGCCAAGAGAGGTCAGAGAGAAACCATTGGTTTTCTCCTGTGAGAGTAACAAAAAGCTGGGTGCCAAGGCAAGGCTAACCGAGGTGGCACCTGCTGGGCTCTCCTGCTCCCTCTCTCAGAGACACATCCCTCTCTAGCAGCACCGGCGGCTTTACAACTTCCATGCCTTGCTCTGAAACACACAAAAACTCAGCATCAAGGTAGAAAATAAAGTAATAATTAAAAAAATAATAATTAAAAACCACCAGCTGTGAATTCCCAAGAGTTTTGAGCAAAAGGAAGCTGCAGGAAACCTCTGCTCGAAGCCTCTTCCCCCCAGGCCAGCGCTCTCCCCTCCTGGCTCCCTCACCAGCCGGCAGACGCAGCAGCCGGCACCCAGCACCCACGGGCACCCACGGGCACCCACTGCCCATTCATTCCCACCAGCCCTCGGCTCCACCCAGCCAACTCAGCAGCAACTTCACCGCAAGTGTCAATACCTCCATTTTTTGTGTGTGTGTGTTGGGTTTGAGGGTTGGGTTGGGTTTTTTTTTTCCCTCCCTTCCCTTCAATCCCGAGCAAACTTCCCGTTCTCCTCGCACTGCCCGTGCCCCCATCCCCCGGCTCCCGATTGGCAGGAAACCCC